ACTAGTGCAGATTCTAGACATAATGCAGCACTGGAAATGATTGACTATTGCTGATCCAATAATATTCATCAAAGCTACAAAGGATGAATTAAAACCAGAAACTAAATGTCTGCTGGAAAGACTTAGGGGGTGAATGAGTTTTAAAGGCTTCCTGGAGATCAATGGAAGTCAGAAAAATCACTCCCATAGGAAGAGAAGTTGGTAGAGGATTTGCCCACATGCTTGATGAAGTGGGAGAACATATTGAAGGCCATTAAGAAGCATTAATAAATGGGAAATTGGAAGAACTTTGTGCATCATCCACAGGGGAAGAAGAACATGAAGAATCTGAAGCAGAATCTGCAATGTGAACAGTAATGAAATTTTCCCAAGTGTTTTGAATTGCCCAGACATTAAAGGGCAAAATTATGAAATATGATCTGTGGTTGGAATGCAGCATTAAAGGTACCCATATGAACACAGCATTACAGACTTGGAAGAACACTTTCCAAATTAAAAGAGACAGCAGCTTCCTTATAGAGTGTTCTTTCAAACATTTTTGGCAAAAACACTTCCACTGTTGAGGCTCCGCAACCATTATCTGCCCCTAACATCCAATCACCAGAAGCAGATGGTCTGCCTTCTGACATGCTGTCAGTAGAAGCCTAATGCTATGTCACAGCATTCACTCATTTCACCACAGATAATTTCATGTCATTACAAGAATAAGGCCGAGTACAGTACTGCCATAACTTTTATTAGAGTGCATCATTGTTAATCTCTGAGACTAATCTATTGAGTTGAATATGAAATGTCCCCCATAGGCTCACGTTTGAATACATGGTCCCCAGATGACACACTGTTTGGGAAGGTGGTGGAACCTGTAGGAGGCGGAGCCTCCCTGGGGGAAGAGGTCACTGGGACAAGCTTTGAGGTTTTATAGCCAGGCTACACTTGTTGTCTCTGCTTCCTGTGTGGATGCAATGTCACCAGCCAGCCTCTTGCTCCCGCCACTGTGTCTTTCCTGCCAGGTCTTCCCCACCACGATGGACTGTAAGTCAAAGTAAACTGTTTCTCTTACAACTCACCTTTGTCAGGGTGTTTCATCACACCAATGAGAAAACAACTAAGACATTTAAAAATGTTATCATAGGTAAGAATGTATAGGAAAAAACAGTCTATATAGTGTTCAATACTACCCTGTTTCTGCATATTTGGAGGGGGGTCTTGCAGCCCTTTCAGCTAAGGGGTATGTGAGGAGAGAATTCAGTAATCCCCTTCAAGGTCAGGCTCTCAATGCATTAACTTTTTTCCACCAGGTCCAGTCTCCCAAAGGTCTCACCATCTCCAAAAAGAATCACAAGCTAGAGACAGATCCAAAATCTAAGAAGGAGAAACTACGGTGAATTACTTTAGTATCTTTTCATGAACTTGTCCCTTGTCTTTCAGTGTGTGCTGACTTCTTTTTTACATTTTCAAACTGGGTCACCTTACTGTTGAGTTGCTTTCTTTATTCACTGCATACGATGTCTTATCAGACATGAACCTTCTCCAGTGTGTGGCTGAATTTTTCATTTTGAGATGGAATCTTTTGAAAAGTATGGCTGTAATTTTAATGAGGTCAATTTTATTTTTCTTTCATAGTTTATGCTTTAAAACTGTTTGATATAACTTTCCAAGCTCAAGATAAGTTTTGTTTTCTTATAAACAATATTGTGCCATCTGATTCATAAACAGGAAATATGTATATAGCCATCTACTTTGGCCTTCTTTTGGTTTCTCTCAGCAATGCTTTGTAATTGACAGCATACAGCTCTTATGCATATTCTGCCACATTTATCCCTAAGTACTTAGTTTTTGATGCTATTTAAATGATACTTTCAATTTTTTTTTTTTTTTTTACTTTTTGAGTTGTTCACTATGTAGCCCTGTGTTCTTTTCTGTTACTGTGATAAAACACCATGACCAAGGCAACTTATGTGAAGAGTGTATTTGGGATTATGGCTCCAGAGGGATGAGCGAGGTGTGGCAAGTGGCAGGCATGGCAGAAGTCAAAAGCTGAGAGCTGACATCTTCAATGGCAAACAGAAGCACAAAGACCAACTGGAAGTGGGACCAGGCTGGGGACTCTCAAGGCCCACCCCCAGTGACATGATTCTTTCAGCCAGGCCACACCTCCTAAAGGTTCCATGATCTTCCCCTCACAGCACCACCAGCTGCAGCTGGCCAAATGTTCAATTACTTGAGCCTACAGGGGACACTTCTCATTCAAACCACAATACCCTGGCTTGCCTGGAACTCCCTATGTAGATCAGGTTGGCCTCAAACTCAAGAGATCCACCTGCCTCTGCCTCCAAGGGCTGGTTTTATATTTTTTATTGAGACAGGGTCTCATGTAGTTCAGGCTGTCCTCAAACTTGCTATGTAGAACATTCAGTTTTAACCTAGGGCTTTGTGCATGCCAGGCAAGCACTCTGCCTACTGAGCTACATCCCCAGCTGAACATTCTCAGTTGTCTTCATTTTTGCATCAGCTGTGTAGACTCCTTGGAGTTTTTTACAACGTGCCTACCACATCACACGAACATTTTGTCTTCTTTATAATCTGCCAGCATTGGCAATATTATTGCTGCATGACTGTGGAGGTGTCTGCAGTAAAGGAAGTGGGGAAGACTTTGTTTTCACTGTTAAGCATGTCAGCTGTAGATGTGTTTGCTTTTTAAAGGTGGCCTTTATCAGACTGAAGCTATTTCCCTTTTAGTCCCAGTCTGCAGAACTTTCATGGGAATGGATACTGAGTTTTCTTAAATATTTTTCTCCTGGGTCAAGATGATCATGTAATTTTTCTTTTTAGTCTATCGATAAGACTTACACAATCCAAATATTAATCCCATCTTGTATTCCTGGAATATATCCCACTTGGTTGCAACCCACTGTTTTTATTTATTGTTGGGTTTGACTTGCTGATAATTTGCAATTTTTCTTCATCACTGTTCATGAGGTATGAGTCTGTACTTTCTTTTCTTGTAATCCTGTGTTTTACTATTTTTCCCTTTTAATTTGGGGAGCAGGTAGTCCTGTGCTTTTCAAAGAGGGAAAATGTTCCCTGCAGTCCTGTATTTTAGAACAGCTTGTATAGAATCAGTACTATTTCTTCTAGAAGCGCTTGACAGGATTCATCACTGAATCCATCTGGACCCAATGAGTCCTTTGTGAAAGGCATTAAACTAAAATTCAGGTTCACAATTAGATATCAAGCTTCTTGGGTGAGCTTGGATAATGTTATGTTTTAAATACTTGTGACCACCCCCACCAAACAATCATATTGAAACCTAATCACCAAGTGGTGCTTGTTGGAGCTGGAGCTGATAAACAAGTAACAGACGTTGAGTGAGGTCTTAAGAATAGATCCTGATCCTGCAGGGTTAACATCCATGTGTCCCCATAAGAGGAGACAGCAGAGCTCACTACTACTGCCCTGTGGGGGTGGGGGGAGTCCTACCTGTAAGCTGGGATGAGAGTCATCACAAGACATCACACTAGCAGGACCTGACCTTCTAGCTGCTAGAAGGACGAGAAAATGGATTTCTGTAAGTTTAAGTCACTTAGTCTCTCATGTTTGCTATGGCATCCTAACACAAGTTTGATCAAGAAAAAGACATTTTCAAGTATTCTGGTGTGAACTGTTTATATCCCTGTTCCTTGTATGTATCTTATTCCAGATATTTCTAATTCATGCTGTACTTTTTTCATTTATAGATATATCAGTTTTACTGAAGAACTGCCTTTTGGATTCCCTAATTTTGTTCACATTTGACTGATTTTTGTGACTTAAAAACAGAATTTCCTGTCTATTTTGATTTTTTTTCTGTTTCAAGGTAGAACCCTAAATTATTGAATGGTTTCTTTCACAGTATTTTTCAATGTAATAAATTTCACTTAAATTTGTGAATTCAATACATTCCACAAATTTAAATATGTTAATTTTTCTTCCATTTAAAAATATTTTCCAGTTTTGGCAGTGATTTAACATTTGATCCATGAATCATTTAAAAATCTGATTTCATATATTTGTGGAATTTCTAGAAATCTTTAAAAATGGATTTAATCCCACTGTGGTCAGGAACCACTGTATAATTTGAATCATTCATTCAAAAGCTTATTTTTATGTGTATGAGAGTTTTGCCAGCATGTATACAAGTGCACTTTTGCATACAATGCCTGTGGAGGCCAGAAGAGGGCACTGGATCCACTGGCTCGGGAGTTAAAGGTGGTTGTTAGCCACCATATGGGTGCTAGGAACTGAACCTGGGTCCTCTGCAAAAGCCAGTGCTCTTAATCACCAAGTTATCTCTCCAGCCCCTCAAAGTTTCTTGATACATATTTAGGCTCAAACTATTGTCTCCTTTGGCAAACACACCTTACCACACCCTGTAAATCCTGGCTGCTTTCACTTCTCTGGTTTCCAGTCACCCTGTGCTAGGCCTGTGAAGCTGAGGACCCATGAGATTACCTTGTTTGTTCCTCCTCTTTCGTAGCACTGGTCTTTGTTGTCTGTTGCCCACTGTTAGAAAACCACTGATTCAGGATTGTGTCTGTTTTAGTTGTTAGTGGTAAATCTGCTTTCTTTTATTTTGTCATGGACATAAGGGTAGTCAGAATTCATTTTTTTCTACATAGACTTTTGGTGAGTGTATACTATGGGCTGAATATGGTTTGAGTGTCTCAAAGGTCCACGTGCTAAAAGTTTGGTTCTCAGGATGGTGTTGCAGCACGTGGGACCTTTAGGAGATGATGACTATTAGGAGGGTCTTAGGTCACTGAGGGGTTTACAGGTTAAGGTGGTTTTCAAGAGAGGGCTGTTTGGAATTCTGAGCTTGGTCCGTCTAGTCCCTCTGGCTTCATGTTTCTGGATGCAATCTCTTCCTTGGCACTTACTCCTACCATTGCCATTCGCCACAGGATGACACAGGTCCTGAGAATAGCACTAATAAATAGAAGTCAGCTGATCGACTACTTCAGGTACATGAAAAAAAATTTAATAGTATAAAATAAACATATAAAATCAGCTATTTAGTTTTGGATGTTAGAAATAATATACATAATAAATTCAGTATAGTACTGATAGTGCTGCAAAGTAAGATTCCATCTTTCAAATGTTAGATTATGCCAATCAGGCTGATTTGTACTCAGAGGCTCAAATTTCTGCTTTTATTACTGAAAACATTTGGACTGTAGACATCTTTAATGAAACAGTGTCTAACTGAAGCTATGGGACCATCATCTTAATAACCCAGTTAAATCCTCACACTGGAAATAAAAGAGGCAAACCTTTCCCCATAATGGTTACCGACACTGAGGCACATGCAGGAGAGATGCTAAAAGTCAAAGGGCAACTTTATGCTCTATGCTAGGTTAATGTTTAAATTCACAGCCTAATTTTTAGTTATAGTATTTCTGGTCTATAAAGAGAAACAGAAGAAATTAAGCAACTTTTTAATATCAGGAAGTAGAACTTTGCTATTCCTTCATAATCACATCTTTCGAAATTTAAGATTGTTTCTACAGCCTGTTTCCACTGAGCTGGTTCAGGAGACACTGGTTGAAAAATGACTTGAGAATATAAATACACTTCAAGGCTAAAAATTCTTCTCCTAAAAGTAAAGATTTAAACAGAGCCCTTGACAAGGATTACTTAATGTAGAACTGCTGGCCAGGATGAAAAATCCTAGATAGAAAAAACAGTCAGGCTGAAATTTAAATGAAAACCAAGGAATGGCAGGCCTTTCATGACATGGGCAACTTTTTCCACAGAATGATGTCCACTAAAAGTAGTTCCTTAGCACATGGTAAAATTTCAACACCATCAATTCCAATTCTGAGTCGATGCTTTGCGGGGATGATTTAAAGAAATGTACATGCTACAGAAGTTAATTACAGAACTCAATAAACAAAATTAAGTAAATGAAATGCCAGAATCTAATTGAAAAATCACATTCCACAGTCTTTTCATGCTTAATAAGCATGCCCATCTTAAATCTGGTATTTCTTATAAATAAGCTCTGAATTTCCCACGAAGCTTGTTATTATGAGACAGGTTCAAATGTTTTCACACAGCTGAATATTAGAGAATGTCCTGAAGGTTATTCATCATTATCTGTGGAAAAAAGAAAAAGATTAATTCACTTCATTTCAAATCAAGCTGTAGCTACTTAGTTTAAAAATTCTTTTTCTAACTAAAGGAAAAGATCATTAATTTAGTTTTAAATGTAGTTCTTATTATAATCACAATACTCATTGCAAAATATTCAGACAGTATACAAAGAATGAAATTGGAAGCAAAAATTACCAGAGAAAGGCAACCAATATTACAATTAATTATATTCAAACCCTCCAAGATTGCCTTATTAAGCATAAATAACTTTAAAAATTTATAACAAAATGCAGTAAGACATGAGTTTTTCCACAGAAGACATATAATGATAGAAAAACGAACAGTTAAGTGCAAACAAGATAATAAACCAGGATCACCAAGTGTTCATGGTGGACTCTATATGGTGGGTATGTCAGGTGTCACTGCAAAGTTTTTCAACTTTTCTATATGGTGAAAATTTCAAAATATTGTAAAAGAATCACATATTCTAGGCTGAAGAGAAGGCTCAGTGGGTAAGAGCACTGGCTGTTCTTGCAGAGGACCCAGGTTCAATGCCCAGCACCCACATGGCAGCTAACAACCATCCATAACTCCAGTTCCAGGGCATCCAACACCATCTTCTGACCTCCATGGGCACTGTATGACATGAGTGCACTTAAACACATGCAGGCAATTCACGCATACACATAAAATAAAAATAAAAAAGGAAATATATTCAATATCAGTTTCAATGTCTGCAAATTATTCTGTCTTAGGAATACGGCATAATGAAATTAACCATTCTTTTAAAAAATATTTTATGTGTATGAGTGTACTGCTTGCATGTGTATAAGTGCACCCATACTGTGCAATGCCTGTGGAGGTCAGGAAATGGCATTGGATTCCCCTGGAACTGGAGTTATGGACAGTTGTTAGTTGCCATGTGGGTGCTGGGAATCGAACCTGGGTCCTCTGCAAGAGCAGCCAGTGCTCTTAAGTGCTGAGTTGTCTCTCCAGACTGAAATTTACCATTCTTATTTGCATAAAACCACAGGCAGATTTAATCTAAAAAAAAGATATTGAGTACATTAAGCAGATGGATTTACTTAATATTACAAAATAAGCACTATCTTTCACATCTCAGCAAAGGTGATCTTTCTTTAAAATCCAAGTGTCATGCCAAATCTTATACTTTTGAAAGCCTTTTGACAGCTCCCTATGCCTAGGGACTATATTAGTAAGTTAAAACATGCAATGGGGAGCAGGAGAATGGCTCAGCAGCTAAGAGCATTGACTGCCCTTACAGAGCACCTGGACTCGATCCTAGCACCCACATGATGGCTAACAACTGCCTGTAACTCCAGTTCCAGATGATCTGATGCCCTCTTCTGGCCTCTATGAAAATCCTATGTACAGGTGTGCTTATATATACAGGCAAAACACTCAGACATGCTATGGGGGTATATTAAGTTTTTTTTTGTTTGTTTGTTTTTTTAAAGTTGCTAGGGTTTTTGTAGTTTGTTTTTAAAGGTAGCCATTTGGCTTTAATTGCTTTTACATTTTTCTTCCTAAGCTAAAGATATTAGAGCTAGGCTCTATGATAACGAACTTTGAGGTTTCATATTCTTTCCACTGTGTACTACAAAAAAATTGACACTGCTTCTTGAGGGAAGTATTAGCCCAGCCTAATTTTTGGCTCTTTGTAGGGGAATGGCCTTCTGTAGATAGGTATCCTTTTGAAACCACTCATCTGTCTAAGGAATGTGTCAGTTTTACCTTGTGGCTCAGCTGATTCTAACAGTTCTCCATTGAAGGAGCAAAGCAAAATAAAAGCTCTTCAGACACTTGACAAGCAAAACTGAAGCCTGAGCACACTGCCCTGATTCCTGTGAAAAGCTCTATTGGAAGAGTTGTGGAGACTGGCCTGAAGGAGAAACCGTCAGAATGAGAACAGAACTGGTTAGAACTCTCCATGGATTTACTTAAATGAATCATTCTCTGGCCTCGTGTCATTAGCTTACACAATGGTATAATATAGAAAGGCCCCTATGAAATCCAAATATTGTAAAATTACAGGCTATTTCTCATTTTATTATAGCACTGTTTTATAAGATGGAGTCCAAGATTGCAATAAAACCAGGAAGTCCATAAATTCTAGATACTTAGAGATTTTCATCTGAAGGACTAAGTAATTTTCAATGATTTGGGAAAAATAGAACATTTGTTCTACAGTATTAATTCACAACTGAAAGACATTCTCAAAGACTAACATTTCAGTTTGTACTGGGCTATACAGACTTTTAGGTTCTGCTGTGCTGGGGAGGAAAATAAAACCTTTCTCTCTTAAAAGGATCTGTATGTTAACGAATTTGAAAGAGTACTATATGATAACTCCTTTTTAAAAAAGAATCATGGATTGGCCAGATGTGGTGGTATACACCTGCCATTCTAGCACGGAGGAGGAAAAAACAGGGGAGTCATGAGTTTGAAGTCATCCTGGGGCACATAGCAAGACCCTGTCTCAAGAAATAATAAGCCCACTAACAAATCATGAGCATTTTTTTTTTCATTTGTTTCAAAACCCAAAACAGCTGTTGTCTAAGCAATTAGTTATACTTTGTACTATGAATGTTTTGACTCATTAATCAGTTTCCTGTTTTATTGTAAAACACCACCAAAGTCTCAGAAAACAGAGACTTTTGAACATAAACTTTGCATTTTTAAAAAATATTTTATTTATTATTTTATTTTATGTGTATGAGTGTATTGCCTGCATGTGTGTGAGTGCACTCCTATTGTGCAATGCCGTGGAGGTCAGAAGAGGGCATCGGATTCCCCTGGAACTGGAGTTAAGGACGGTTTGTTACCACCATGTGGGTGCTCGGAATCGAACCCAGGTCTTCTGCAAGAGCAGTCAGTGCTCTTAAGTGCTGCGCCATCTCTCCAGCCCCAAACTTTGTGTTTTTACTTCATTACTTATTCTGTGCTCATTTATCGCATATGCTTTCTCAGATATTTTAAAAAATTATTTCCATCTTGTACTTAGACTATTCTTTGTACTTAGACATATTTTTATTTATTAATTTTTGTCTTTTTGAGACAGGATTTCCTTGTAGCCCCACCTGGCCTGGAACTCGCTATGTAGTCCAGGCTGGCCTTGAACTCACAGCCTGCCTCTGCCTTCCAAGTGCTGGAATTAAAGGGGTGTGCCCAGCATAGATATATTTTTAAATGTGATCTTATACTTTTTTTCTAGCAAGAAGGACTATAAATCTATTTTAAGAAAATTTATATTATTAAAATTAAGCATTGGCATTTTAAATTTCCCAGTATTAGCCTATGAGTTAAACCTTTAAAGTGATTGCATTAATTTTTTGTAAACATGTCAAAAATGAATTTGTATTCAAAATTTTACATATTTCTTCATGTGCATAAAGTTTAATTTTATATCTTTGATAGGAATTATTCTAATCTCTAGGGCTGTGGAGCTGTTCAGTTAGGAGACTTAAAAAAGTTTCATTCTGTCTTCTCTTGGCACCCCAGACCTTTGAACTACCCTCTCCGCCCAGACTCCCCACTGCTTCCTGAGCCTTTGCACCCAGACCAACCCAGTTCATCAGTCTACTCTCTGGGAGCCCTCAAAGCCTGTCCCCTCCCCCACTTTGCCTTTGCACACCTCAGACAAGCCTTCATCCCTGCCCAGCCCAACCCCCAACTTCCTGAGGCCAACAATCTTTCCTTGGTAAGTTTGACCCCACCCACTGTGCCCTGACTCCCACAACCTCATTCACCCTCCCAGCTCTTCCACCCTGTCTCTCCTCCTACCGTGGGCGCCGGCCCATTTCTTCTCTTGGCACCCCAGACCTCTGAACTATCCACTGGACCCAGACTCCTCACTGCTTCCTGATCCTTTGCACCAGACCAACCCAATTCCTCAGTCTAGTCCCCTGGAGCCCTCAAAGCTTGTTCCCTCCCCAATCTTGCCTTTGCATGCCTGAGACCAGCCTTCATTCCTGGCTGCATCACCCCTAACCTGGATTCCTGAGACCAGCCTCCTTCCCTGACTGCCTCAGAGTCCTGAATCCTACCTCTACCTATCAACCCTCCCAGATTGTAATGTGCCTGCTGACTAGAGGGATCCAGATCTTAGGAGAAAGCCTAAGAGCATCTGATCCCCATCTGACTTGGGCCTCTGTCAGAATTCCTGAGCAGCAGGACTAAAGCCATCTGACCCCTCTGATATAAAATCAAAAGAGAGAACCTGAAGCCTAGACCAACCAGCTTTTCACGTCCAACAAGAAAACCATAAAGGCACCCAAAGTTTACAAACAGAAGCAGATCTAAACTCAACAAAGGAAGGCTTGAGTCTCACACAGAAAACACAAAATAAATACACATGTCAAAGTCACAGAGAAAAAATATTAATATGAAGAATCCAAATAATATATTCCCACCAAGTACCAACAGTCCTGTAGAAGAGTACGAGAACCAGCTTTTAGACTAATAGATTCTTTGTATTGTTTTCTTTGTTTCTACTTCATTAATTTCTGCTCTGATTTTTGTTATTTCTTCTTGTCTGCAGAGTTTGGGTTTTGTTTGCTGTTGCTTTTCAAGTGTGTTGAGTTGCAGTGTTAAGTCATTTATTTGTGTTCTTTCTGATTTTTTAATGTAGCCACTTAGAGCTGTAAACTTCCCTCTAAG